CTCTCGACAGCAGACTCGGTTATTTCCAAGTCCTTCTCGCTGCCAAAGATCAACCTTGATCTGCCTGCCTTGTTTTCAGGCTTTCACGGCGTTTTTGTGCCACGTTCGCAAGGCGTGTGCACGTTGGCCGCCTCCTCCCGCACCTCCTTCTGAATTCGGGGTGGGGAGCGGATGCGGATGCTCATCTCTCTCTTGTTTCCAGGGTGGCCGTTTTAGATAAAGTCACGGATTTCCTTTTCTTCCTCGGAAAACTCCTCATCGTGGGAAGCGTCGGTAAGTGCTGGGGACTGGAAGTTTCTCCTCGGGGTGTACGGCTGCTGTAGGCTTTCGGAGCCGGTTACGGCTTCCCAAAACCTTCCTCTCTTCACTCCTCCCATGAAACCGTTCCTTTCCATCCCGTTTGACATCTTCCCTGCATCCATTTGCTGCCTTTCTTCTGCCCTGCATCCCACAGCAATTTCCATCGTTTGCTTTTCCAGGAATCCTTGCCTTCTTTTTCTTCACCCAGCGGATAAAGCTGGTCCAAGACACAGCGCCGCCTCTGAATTACTACTGGGTCCCTATTCTGGTGAGCCGCTTTCTCGTCTTTTCGGTGAATTTAGAAGTGATGGAAGGAGAACCTTAACACAAATGCCTTAAAAACACCCCTCCGCTCACGGCTTCTGAAGGACCTTCTTTGTTGAAGGTGTTTTCTCCGTCCCCGTCGAAATAAGCCCTTTGTTTCAGCCAGCCGCGAAGAGGCGTCTCGCCCTTCCTGTGCTGCCCAGATTGGCCTCCATCCACCGTCGTCGCTGAGGCCTTTTGTCCTGAATCGGGCTGGTCTGAACAGTCCTGCCCTGTTCGCTTCTCCTCCTTTCCCTGGGGAATTTGGGATTCAGCAGGTTCCCTCCTCCCGGCCGAGGGACCGGGGCTTTGCGCTCTTTGCAGATGCCAGGTCACGGCGTGACGGCACAATTTCTCTTTCAGACGGTGATCGTGGGCTCCTACCTCATCGCCCACGGGTTCTTCAGCGTGTACGGCATGTGCGTGGACACCCTCTTCCTCTGCTTCTGTAAGTGTCTGCCTTGGAGGGTCCGTCTCCCGCTGGGCAGGAGTTTGTGGTAGCAAAACCTCCCTCCCTCTGGCTGAACCCCCGAGTCGTCCAGATTTGGGGTTGGCTCCAAATTCCCGTGGCCTCTCTGTGTGGTTTTCTCCCACTTTTCCCTTTACCAACTCCTACCTGCGTTCTGACCAGCACCTGCTTTCCCCCTGCCTGCTAGCAGCGGAAACCCACAGCCTGTCCTTGGGTCTCCTGCGGTCTCTCTTGGTCTCTCTGTTTTGGTGCTTTGGTCTTGGTGGAATCTAACTGCAACTAACTTCAATTTTCCTTTTTTTTTTTTCTCTTTCTTTTTTTTCTTCTTTTTTTCTCCCCCCTCTCCCCCTCGTGTCTCTCTTCACATGTTCTCCGCCCTTCATCTCTGCCCTGCCTCTCCCCGGCTCTTCCGCTATTTTTCACTCTTCCCCATCACGGCCGCTTCTTCCTGGGGTTGCGAAAAGGTGAAGATCTGGAGAGGAACGATGGATCTCCCGAGCGGCCTTACTACAC